CGGGCCTTTTTCGTGTAACTTTTTCTCTTGGTTTTCGGCTGCTTTGCTTAGATTATTTTAAATTTTGTCTTATGCTTGTCTCTTTCTCAGTTTGGCAAAGCCCAACAAGGTATATGACACAGCAAATGACCACGTCCAGGGCGTCTCCAAGGAAAGAGGGGACAAGTGGCCCTCCTGGATCCCCCACAGGACAGTGACTTCAGGCAGGCTAAGGAAGACCCAACTGGATCTAACGCAGGTGATTGCTGTGGATGGTGCTACGCTGTGTGTTGGGCAGACTGAACTGACCAGAGACCTTTGGGCCACCAGGGTTCGCCTCCTCTTGGGACTAATAAACTGAGCACAAAGTGCCCCAGAACCCAGAGTCAAGCTGCCCTTGGCTGGAGATGGCACCTTCGAATGCCGGGATCGGTGGACTAGTGGCTCCGTGGCAGGGCTGTGGTGGGAGAACCGTCTGGGTTAGCCGGATGGCAGGAGCAGGGGACAGTGAGCAGCCCACAATACTGACTCACCAAGAATCTGCATGGAGTGGCAGAGATAGGCTACCTGCCTGCCGGGGCTAATGATACCACACCTGAGGCCAGAAAGTGGCGGCCCAACAGGCAACCAGCTGCAGGGACCGAGAGGAACATCTCAGAGAGGCAGTGCTGTGGGGTGGAATCTGGCGTGATCCTGGAGCCTCCCGAATGAAAAGACTAGTGGAGTGACCTAGAAGGAGCCCAGGCAGGTGGGATCTGGGTCCCCAAAGCCTCTGCATCCCCCCAGCCCTCCCTCCATTTGCTCCTCCCGCCCTTCAGTTGGGTACCTAGTCCCTGTCAAACCCCAGTCTCCAGAAGACAGTTCTCTGGGGGCCACTTCTGGAATTCCCAGGAAACCAAGGAACTAGAGCAAGCCTGTTTTTGCAACTGGTTTTTGGATTAACTTCCAGTGTGCCCAGGGCCAGCACTGTGGATAGGCTCTTTCCTTGCCCTCTGGAAACAAGACAGGTGCTGTGGTCTTTGTCAGGTAGAACTATTAAGATTTGTGAGTATCTTCCATAGGTAAAGTCTTTATCAGCTTGCTAGCTAGTTTTATGTCCACTCCACAGAAGCTAGCGTCATTTGAGAAGAGGGACTCTCAACTGAGAAAATGCTCCCCTGAGATCGGCCTGTAGGCAAGTCTGTAGGGCATTTTCTTAACTAGTGATTGATGTGGGAGGACCCAGCTAATTGTGGGTGCCTCCCCAGGGCTTGTGGTGCTGGGTGCTATAAGAAAGCAGGCTGAGCAAGCCTTGGGGAGCAAGCCAGTAAGCAGCACTCCTCCTTAGAAGCTGCACCAGCTCGTTCCTCCAGGTTCCTGTCCTGACTTCCCCCCCAGTGATAGACTGAGCTGGAATGCTAGCAAAAGGGACTCAAAAGATCATTCAATCACATTTGGAGTTATCCCTGACTAGGTTGTCAGATGTGGCCCCAACACTGGCAGATCAAGAAGACTGGATGGTATATTCTAGAAACAGGAAAGCGGTATACAGAAGGGCCAACACTGGCTAGTCTGAGCTACGGATGTGACCAAGTGTACACTGGAATAAGTAGAATTTGGGGACTTGTTCCTGCAGGGTATGCTGGCTTCAGTGTCCAGAAAGAGGACACTTGGCACATAGGACTTGTTTGATGCCTGCTTGGGCTCTATGCTGACTGGTTCACATGTGAGTCTTAAAAAGGCATTCAAACTGTATTAGTGCTATTTACAGGGATGTAGGAGTCCATTTTCAGGTTCCTAGTGGCTTTACCCAGCAGGTCCGCATAGAGGATGATTAGGACCATGGGCCTGAGTGCGGATGCCTGAGATGGTCTGCACTTGGCTGAGCTGGGGGGAGGTCTTTTGCTCCACCCCTTGGCATTTCTATAAATACCTTAGGGCAGAGACAGTCGGGGCCGGTTGGAATAGGTCCCAGGCCCTCTCGAGGCTATCCTGTATTTTCTATCTCCACACTCTAAATCCTTCTATCTAATATTTCCTGCTGCTTGCACTCAAGGAAACTCTGGGAAACTGTGGGGATGGTGGGTAGCTGCCCCGCACAGGGAAAGAAACTGGTGTGTGCATTTCATGAGACATGCGAAGGAAGTTCTTCTCACCCCAGATGGAGCACTGATTACAGATCAAAGGATGGATTCTACCAAGTTCACCTTGGTGAACCAGTGAATTTATTGGGGTCCCTTACAGGAGTAGGAATGACTTAGAGGCAGCAGCAGCAGCAGCACCCTAAGTCACTATTTGTGAAATGTGTTGGCGGAGCTCTTTGTATGATTTGCAAGCTGCTCCACATGCTTGAGACTCTCCTCTTTTGAGCGGTCCTTGTTGCTTATATAACCTTGGGGAGGGAGGAATCTTTGTGAAGCTGTTACATTTCAGGGCTTTCCTGAGACTTGTGAGTTGCTTACTGAGTGGCTTTGAGCATCATCCCTTTAGAATGTCTTGAGTCTTAAGGAGCCTCCCTCCCAGATGCAATGTTTCAATTCAGAGGATACTGTTACACAACACTGACCATTAGTTAAAGATGAGGGTAATGTATTGAAGTTACCCACTAGTATTGTACTAGAGCATGTCTGACCATCTGTGTCCTTTAATGTTTGCTTATGAATCAGGGCTCCACTGTTTGGTGACTATATATTTATAATTGTTGTATCTTCTTGATTAATTTGTTCCCCTTATTAATAATGCAGTACATTTTTAAAAAGTCTCTTCTAGTTGTGACTTGGAGTATGCTTATGAGATGTCAGACTAGTCATGCCAACTGGTTTTTTGGCCTCTAGTCACTTAATAAATTATCTTCCATTCTCTGGCTCTCTGTCCATAAGTGTCTTTACCCAAGAGTTGTGTTTCTTGGAGAGAGAGAGAGAGAGAGAGAATGAATTTGGTTTTTTCAAAGTGGGGTTTCTTTGTGTAGCTTTGGCTGTCCTAGAACTCACTTTGTAGACCAGGCTGGCTTCGAACTCAGAGATCCACCTGCCTCTGCCTCCCGAGTACTGGGATTCAAGCTGCGCACCATCACTGCGTGGCTGGATCTAGTGTTTTAAGTCCAGCCAGCTAGTCTTCATGCCTTTATTGGTAAGCCAAAGTCATTTACATTTAAGGTTATTGAGAGCTATAATTTTATTGGCTGGATTATTCTTTCCTCTTTTTCTTCTCTATTCGTGTTATGGCTTTCCTGGTTTACTGTGTGGGACACAACCGATTTCACAATGGTTCCCCTTACCGACTTATTCTTCTCACACAATTCATCCTGTCCTGTGCTCTTTTGATTGAAACCTTCTTCCTCTTATGTGTGTAGCATCCCTGTGACTATTTTCTGCAGTGTCAGCTTGGTGGACATGAAATGCCCTATCGTGTGCCTGCTTATTAGATTGTGGAATACAGTTGCTGCTATGGCAGTTGGAAGTTCAGCCTGAGAAAGATCCTCCTCTCCTTATGTTTCCAAGTGTGCAATTCCCATAGTGTACAGAGATTTTTGTTGTTGTTTGAGACAGGGTTTCTCTGTGTAGCCTTGGCTGTCCTGGAACTCACTTTGTAGACCAGGCTGGCCTCAAACTCAAGAGATCCACCTGCCTCTGCCTCCTGAGTGTTGGGATTAAAGGCATGCACCACCACTGCCCAGCTCAGAGTTTTTTTTAAAAAATGATTTAAACAGTGTGCGTCCAGTAGAAGCATCATGCGCCTATTTGCAGCTTGTAAGTTTGTGGTGGCAAGGTGAAAGTGATCTTGGAGCAGCTACTCTGAGACACATTCTCTTAGAAGGAAAATTACTTTCCCAGAGGGGAAGGCATTTATTCAGATCATGTTGTTGAAACAATGAGGAATTCTAAGAAGGTTCTCATTTTCTGTTGGGTAGGGAAAGTGTTCTGTGAGTCTGAGGGGAGAGAGAAGGCTGGGGTGAGGGTGGACATGGCAGGGTGGGAAGGAAGCCAGGAGAACTCAGAGGCAAGCATCGGGACGCTACTGCCTCCAATCCCTGTGACGCGCTGCCGGTGCTCCTGTGACTCTTCCAGGGGTTCGTTAACCCCCTAGGACCAGATTAGACTTTCCAGTTCTCAAGATACATTGGCATTACTTCCCCCAAATACCTTCACTGTGGAAGGAATAGTTTCAGCAAATGAATGTTACAAGATTTAATGTATATGATGTTAGATTAGTTTGTGTATTCTGGGGAATTCTGTTATTCCCTACACCACAGCATCCTGGAGCTTTCCTCAATACCTGGGCTGCTGCTCTATAACAGAGAGCAGAGGGTTCGTCCTGATTACTATTTGCAGTCTAGAGGGCAAAACTGGAATGGCGTGAGAATTTAACAAGAGGCACGACTTCATGCCAACTTACGGTTCTTTTCTGGGAACTGATTTCCCTGGACTCGCAAGATTCAAAATGCTTTCCAACTCTGGCATTCTGTGCCATTCCTCCCAGATGTCTAAGGCTGGCAGCTCTGGTCTCACAGTGTAAAGGCAGGATCTTGATGTCACGCCTACATCTGCCTGATCCTAGACAGTAAGCTGTAAGGGAAGTCGGGCTTTAAACCAGATCAACTTGGGCTCTGAGCGGACATCCTACTTCACATTTTGGAACTTCGGCTCCCTCTACTAAAAATAGGAACAATTTATAGACAGTGAGTACGTTGTTTGGCATCGGGAGAGGTTCCACCGGGGTGGGTTCTCTCAAAGAAAAACTTCTTTCGTGCTAAAAGTCTTTCTTCCTTCTGGGATCTAGCCGATGATGCATCAGATAATGCACCTGCTGCAAGTGTTAGCCAGTCCGGCAGAAGGCAGCAGTATTCAGCCTGGATTTAGGAGCTGGTGGCTTGCACGAACTCTCTAGGTGGCGGAGCTGCACTCACGCTGCTGGGCGGGGCTGAACCTAGAGATCCGCACATGCGCGCTGCGGGGCCGACCCTGCCTGCAGGGTAAAGTGGGCCGCACCGTGGGAATGCGGCTGCGCTGAGATTGCTTCCTGAAAGAGGTACTGCGCTTGCGTGTCGCTCTCTGCCACCGCCGTTTCTTTTTTCCCTTTAGCCTCAGTTCATGTCCAGGACAGCGGATGATGTATATGCAGATCTCCCTGCCCTGTATTTTCTTGCTAAGGTGCAGAAATAAAGAGGCCTTCGCTGTCCCTCCGCGACTGTAAACCATGGTGCCAAGACAGTTCCCGCCCATGCCACCTGCGGACAGTTTTGAATTTCTAACTTCTCGCAGACCCAAATCTCCCAGCCACCCCCCTTCCATCTTCCTGGAGCTGGGGTTTTGGTGAAGGTTGCAGGGTGAGCTCATGAATTCTGATCTTCTCAGAATCATACAGACGTCACTGGGAAATGTCTTTCAAGTCCAGGGACCTCAAGGGAACGTAGTGGTTAAAGCCTTGGCATGTAGAAATGCACACACAAAGTTAGAGCGGTTAAAGAATATGCCTAGTTTTCACAGCTCGTAAGTGGCTGTATCTGTTTGAAGCCAGATGTCGAAACTTCTCCCTGGCCTGTCTTAGGCCTGGACACAGAGATCGGGGGTGGCCTCTACTATCACCAGGGGGTAGAATAAAATAAGGCCTCTTACAGGAATTCTTGTGTTAGCAAACTGGGAAGAGAGAGGGAGCAGACAGGCGGGGTGTGTGTGTGTGTGTGGGGGGGCGTCCCTTGCTCTAGTCTCTTGTCCATTTGCAACCAGAGTAGTTTTTCAAAAATCAATCTGAATATGCTTCCCTTTTTTTTTTTTTTTTTTTCGAGACAGGATTTCTCTGTGTAGCTTTGCACCTTTCCTGAAACTCGCTTTGTAGACCAGGCTGGCCTCGAACTCACAGAGATCCACCTGCCTCTGCCTCCGAGTGCTGGGATTAAAGGTGTGCGCCACCAACGCCCGGCTGAATATGCTTCCTTTTTAAAAAATCCTTTAAATCTTTAAATCCCGTTCCCTGTTGCCTACAGGATGCTTCCTTGCACCCCTACCCATTTCCGCCCACCAGCACAGTCTACCCCTTGAGTGTCGAGTGTCGTGAGGCCATTTTGCTCCCACTGACGCTGCTTGGCAAATCTTTCTCACCTGGCCATGTTTAACACCCCCCCCCCTTCCTGCCTCTCAGACAGTATTGGGCTGCCCTATGATTGTGCACAGAGCCCTAGTGTTATCCAGATCTTGGGGACCCCCAAATGACCACCAGGGAGACTGAATCCCGCATGTAAAAGCAAAGAGCCTTTAATTTCAAGCCCGGAGCTTGGTCTCTCTGTCTGTCCCATGCAGCGATGAGAACAGAGAGCCCAGAGCAGGGTGGGTTTTTTTGTTTTGTTTTGTTTTTTAATCATAGCAGAGGTTGGGGTGAGGGGATTTCCAGGGTTCAGGACCCTGCTTGGCTGACATTTGTCTAGGGGTATAGGGAATGTTTGGAATGTCAGGTATTTCCTCTTAGATGCAGGCCCCACCAAGTGGGGACAGCTCATGGCTTTTCCTGGGTCCAGGTGTTGCCTGCCAGAAGCTGTGTCCGAGCCTCCAAGTCTGTCATGGCAGCTGTGTGGTCAAGCTTTTTTGCCCTCCCCCGCACCCCCCCACCCCAGGAAATGTAAGCACCAGAAGGCCACTGTGTTGTGTCCACACTCCATGAGTCCATGAGCTGTGGTGGAGCACAAATAGATGATGCATTGTGAGCAAGGGCATGCATACAGCAAAACCCTAAGGGATGGGTCTGCGCTCTGGGAATTTCTCTCGCATTCCCAAAACCTGTGTGTGACCTTGTCTCTGTTCATTCATCCATTGCTATAAAATACATTCCTTCCTATCACTCAGGTGCATTCTGTGGACCTTGCTCTGGTTCAAATACTAAACTAAACTAAGAAGGGACCTTTATGGTATAATTGAAGAAATTAGAGAGCTAAGTAGGAGGCAAAATAATGGGATTTTAAATTGTAAGAGAGTTGTATAATTATGTAGATTAATTGTGATAACATAAATAAGGTGCCGTGGTATCTGGCACTGTTTTAAGGCAGTCCTGGAATAACAGGAGGGATATGTAACAACGTGTGCATATGAGTTTGTTTGGCTCCTGTTGTAGATTTATAGACATTTGGTGACTCTGGGAAAATGGATTCTATTATACCTGTGAAGGTCGGCAGTCCACAGGGAAGGTGTCAGTGGGTCCTCAGGCTTTGGAAGCTCTAGGAGAAAATCCCTCCTACCTCATTCTCTAAGTCACTCCTCGCCCACGCTGCTGGAAGTCACCGCACACTCTACTTGGCTCCCTGTGAGTGGTGTCCCTGGAAAAGTCACTCAACACACGGGATGTGGCCACATCCTTCCAGTCTGTTCTACCACTTCACCTTGTGTCTGTCTGTCCTCTCCTTCAGGCACTTACCGTTATGCTAAGGTTTGTCTGGATAATTAGGAATCTTCTTACCAGAAAGTCCTTAAGTGTATCTTACAGGAACCTTTTCCCAAGTAGAGTTATATTCACAGGATCCAGGGAATTCAATGTGAACCTGTTTTGGGGAAAAGAGGAACCATTTTATCTTAAACTCCATGTGTGGAAGAAGAAAGTTGGCACAGTGATGAATATTTTTTTTAAGTTAACTTTTTTTTTTTTCATTTTCTATGTATGGATGTTTTACCTGTATCACCTGGTGCCTACAGAGGCCAGAAGAGGTTACCAGATCCCCCGGAACTGGAGTTACAAGTGGCTTTGAACCACCATGTGGCTGCTGGTTCCTGGTGCTCTTAACAGCTGACCCATTTCTCCAGCCTCCTAAAGTTAACTTTTTCGTGTTGCTTCTATGGTCAGGCTATCTCCCAAACTGTTAGCACTCAGTTGACTGGATTCCTTTAGCCTTGCCCTGTTATGAAATCCTGTGCAGGTTCGAAGACTTGCCAGGACCGACCTTTGGCAGCTTTTGTGTCTTTTGTGTTGATTGTAGTAAGAGACAGCAGGCAGGTGGGACCGACGGCAGGCGGCGCCCTCTAGTGGTACGACTCTTGTATAGCTCTAGGAACTCGGGATAGACCCTTGCGGTTGAAAACTGGACTAGTGTTTGGATTCTAGTGTAGTTTTTATTCCATGGCTCTCATAGCTCTTGCAGGCTTCCATCCGCCTTCAGCTTCTGCATTCTGGAGCCCCCACCTCAACCCCTGTCCCATCCCCCACCCGGCTCTGTTTTTGAGACAGGCTCTCATGTGGCCCATGCTGGCCTCGACCTTGAGCTAGCCGAGGGTAGCCTTGAACTTGTGATCCTGCTGCTTCTGCTTCTCGAGTGCTGGGATTACAAGGCATGCAATAGCATGCCCAGTTTTATGTAGTGTTGGAGCTTGAGCACGGGGCCACGTGTGTGCGAGATAAGCATTCTGTCAGCTGAGCTGCATCCTTAGTTCTTCAAGCTCACCTTTTTGTCCTCCCTACAACTTTATTTTTGGCCTTCTGTATTCCTACCATCCCATTTCTTGTCGCCCTGGCTGTTCCCTTGAACTTAAGCCTGTCTTGTATTGTCATGACTTCTCTTGATTGCCGCTAAGGGAGGCAGCCACCACCATCCCGCCGCCGCCGCTGCTGTTACAAAACAGCGGGCTGACTGCTCCCTCTCGAAGTTTCAGTTGAAGCCAGGAAGAGTTCAGTTAGATTTTGCTTTGTCTGTGTGGTGGGCTTTTTCAAGAACCTGAACCGCGTGGTTTTCGTGAAGGCAATACAGACTTCGGCAAATGCTAAGCCTCTAGTTTGCGCTCAGCTCGAAGGCAATGTTTGTAAAAGGCAACTGTTGGCGAGCTGGAATACTTTCTGGCTGCATTGCCCGGCAGGATGCGGAAGTTCAAGTCAAATAAGAACGTCAGAAAACAAATAGTAATGATCAATGTAAGTATGCCTCAAACACCACATGGGCCATACTTACACCAAAGGGTTGTTTCTCTGAAATATACAGGAACACAAGTGTCCAGACTTTTTATCCGATCTGTGTAGCAACTATTTGCATGCTTTCCCTTTTCTGCCCGGCTCACAGGACCTTCCCTGCCTAGGCACCTCTATGGATGTTGTTGGCTCCCATTAGTCTGTTTTACCTTCAGCTGATACTGTATTTTCTCAACTTAGACTTCCCTTGAGTTATTCTGACGTTACTTATTTAATATCAGTTTCTACCATAGATTTTGAGTTCATAGGGGCTGAGCCTTCATCTTTGGTAAGTTAAGTCCCCATAGTCTGGAGAAAGCTGTGGGACACTTGTCTCTCCCTGGGGCACGAGGCGGGTGTTCAGCATCATTTAAGTGCTGTTAAAAATCAGTAATAGGCCGGGCGGTGGTGGCGCACGCCTTTAATCCCAGCACTCGGGAGGCAGAGGCAGGCGGATCTCTGAGTTCGAGGCCAGCCTGGTCTCCAAAGCGAGTTCCAGGAAAGGCGCAAAGCTACACAGAGAAACCCTGTCTCGAAAAACAAAAACAAAAACAAATCAGTAATAAATGCTAACAATAACGCCTTCAGGTTCTTACTGTAAGCATACCTCATGTGTATGTTCCTGGAATAAGCAAAGACTTCGATGTCTCTCACTGCCCTGGCTGCCTTAAACAAAAGAACTGTCAGGCAAACAGTTTGCCTACTAAAGTCTTTTTTTTGGCCAACACTCATTTTGAACTCTCTGAAGATGCCTTGAGGAAACTACACAAGAATTGCAGTAACCTTTTCCACCTAGGCCAGGAGAGGAAACACCTCCCCCTTGTGGCCTAGCAGAGGGACTGCTGTGGGTGGGGTAAGTGGCAGAGCGCTATGATTGGTGCAAATACAAACCTTCATTTGCATGCGAGGTTTGCCTTACTATGCGGACATCCTTCTGGATCCATAACTGGATTGATAGCTCGCTTTGCTTGGTGATTTATCAGTGAGATGTTCTCACGTGCTGCCCCACCTTGTTTTAAAGTATTGGGGTCAGTCAAAGGCGCCTCTTGAGTGTTCTTCCGTCTTTGTAGCATGGCTGAATTGGTCACAAACCAGCAGCCTAGCTACCACAGCAACAGTGAAGTAGAGGCAACGGAGCGGCTGTGGCGTAGACTGAGGAGTGGCTGGCCAGCTGCTTGGCATCTGAAGAGAAGGCAGAGAAGGAGGTATGGCAAGTGTGTTAGCACCCGTCCCAATAGTCTTCACACAATGAAGGACTGTTGGCATTCATCTCAGACCTTATTGGGAGTACCCTGCCCCGCCTCTGGCCTTAGTGAAAATGACTGCAGCCTATGCAAGGTCATCTGGAATTCACCAAGCTTTGCTTAGTGTGCCACTTTTCTAGGCACGTGCAGGCTATCTGGAGTGGTCATAGCTGGGACGTGTCTTCCTTTCCAGCTGCTGAAGGGTTTTAGAGTTATCATAAAGTTTCCCAGCCGGGCCGTGGTGGTGCACGCCTTTAATCCCAGCACTCGAGAGGCAGAGCCAGGCGGATCTCTGTGAGTTCGAGGCCAGCCTGGGCTACCAAGTGAGTTCCAGGAAAGGCACAAAGCCACACAGAGAAACCCTGTCTCGAAAAACCAAAAAAAAAAAAAAAAAAAAAAAAAAAAAAAAAAAAAAAAAAAAAAAAGTTTCCCAAACATCTGGGCTTCTGAGAGCCATCCAGCCTGTTACCAGTGATGGGACTGCTTGACTGACAGTTCCCTGCTCAAGGCTGCCCAGACAGAAGATAAGGAGAGCCTGCTTTATGAGTTTTAATAATTCATCAAAAGCATTGAAATTTTTGTTTATAAGAAAGACTTAAGAAAGTTGAATGTGGAACTGATATTTTTATTGACACCTAATTAGTACTTAATATTTAACAACCCTTGACAGGGCTGAACACCTTCACCATGCCCCAGGGAGAGGTGGGTGCCTATGTTCAGCCTCACCTGGGCTAGCAGGGTGTTCATGCATGCACCCATCTCCCCAGGACTAGGGAGCTGTGACTAGCCTTTTAATACAGTTTATCAATACTATGCATACCTTAGTTCATTGTAACTTCTCAACAGCCCTTAAAAGATATTAGACAGTCTATTGAGTTTATATACCCGCAAATGGAAGAGTTTCAGCCTATCTATATCTCTCTTCCAACTGTTAAGTTATGACACTCTTGACCCATTGTTTTTGGACAACTCAGAGACAGTTTTCTTAATTTTCTAGACTTATTGATTATATTTCTTTCAGGACAAGACTCCCCTCTCCTTTTTTGTGGTGCTAGGGCCTCATAAATGCTAGGCAAGGGCCCTAACCCTGAGCTATGGTTGCCCCCCCAATCCATTTTCTCTATAAAAAGATTTCTGTCTAATTATTTATGTCTATGTGGGAACATATTCATTTGTGATTCAGGAGACAGAAGGGGGCATCAGATCTCCTGGAAGTGAAGTTACAGGCGGTTGTGATCCATCTGACAAGTGTGCTGGGAACCAAACTCGGATTTAACAGATTTTTAAACTCTGAGCCAACTCTCCAGCTCCCCCAACTCCATTTTCTTAATTAGACAAATATAGTTATTGTATTCTTCAGTTCATTCATCGGTTTTGGGTTGTCAAAGTGCCACAGTGTGGTCGTCTTCTTGATTTCTTCTCCCGTCATGTGGTTGAAATGCTGTTCACAAAAAGGCACTCATGAAGTAGCTGCTCTTCTTCCACCCTCCATTTACATCAGTTGGCTGGAGGAATCTGACTGGGAAAACATGGCAGAGGGCCTCAGAGGGCAGCACAGAGCTCAAGAGGGCTCCTGAGTGGAGTAGAGAAGCCCTGCCATGGCATTCAGTGTGAGAGCATGGACAGGTTGGTTCTCTGTAAGGGGAGTATCAGGGCTAGTGCCATGGTGGTCGCAGAGGGAGAATTACTCCTTGGTACTATGAAGGAGGATTGTATATTCCACCCACAACAAATAATTCATCTTTCTTGGTCTCGTTTTCTGTTTACCCAGCAAAACTTTATAGGAACCTTTACCCTAGTTTTGCCCTGGCCTTTGACAACCTCCTTTTCAGAAACAGTAAGGAGCATTTGGTAAAATATTTCATAAGATAAAACTTCCTTTCCCTCTGTAACATGATCGGGGATCCCTGGGCAGTATTGTGAGGGCTGGATCTCTTGGCTCTCCATCCCTAACAATTATCTGTACCACCCCCACCACCCGATAAGAATGTACAATATACACGATGATCTACAACGATAAGACAAGTGAGTTGTGTGTTTTTAAGTGTTTTATATGTTATAGTTTTTTAGTTGTGCATTTTAACATAATTGTTTTTAAATTGGATTTCTGTAATTCAAGTCACACGTTTTCTTAGAAAGCCAGTATATTGTTGCTTTTATCTAAAAAATGAACAACCTGTAAGAATAATTTTTCTTTTTATATATATATATATATATATATATATATACACACCCTTGTACTTATATTCCCCTCTCACTACACTAATCTGCCCCTCCCAACTGGCCTCTTTCCTTCTCCCAAGTAGTCCCTCTGTGTGTTTGTGTTTTGAAATCATATATATATATATACATATATATATGTATATATATATGTATGTATATATACATGTGTATATTTAGATCTAGAGCAGGTAAATCTAAATGTTTTCTAAAAGAGCTTCAGACTGAAGAGGAGAGTAGAGCCATTTCCCCCAGGTCTCAGCTCTTGTGCTTCTGCTTTCAACGAGCCTTTTACCCATATTATCCTGATACGACTGGTTGTGTCCATGCTAGGAGCTGCTGATTTTCGTGTTCTGATTCGTTGCTACCTCCTGTCTCCCAAGCGGTTTGAGACAGAGCAAGGGCTATCAAACTGCTCTGACTGGGCTCACTCAATATGTATATTATCTTTTATAATGACTGAGCACGTGCCTGTATGCCCATGCATGCAGGATACATATGAGTGAAGCTGAGGACTCACCGAGTATTATTTTTCTGCACTCCACTATCCCCTGCTCTGTTTTGTTTCTTTTGGGCTTGCCACCGTATTGTGAACACCACTGTCCATGAAAGTAACTGGCTTTCAATAGAAGTGACTGTGAAACCCCAGAACTGCCTTTCATGTGAGCAGATCTCCCCAGAAACCCCAATATCTCCATCTATAAAGTAAATATACTAAAAGGAGTCCTCTTAGGTGATGTTTTTAGAGTGAAATAAAGACAGATTTGAGAGCATGCCCATTGTTTATCTGATAATAAAGAGCTGTTGGGTACCTTTTGTAACATGAAGTCAACAGCATCCTTTTTGGCTTGATTATACAATGAAACTGAAGTAATAGAGGTAGGACACAGAGTCTAACGAAGGTGGTAGGAGCTTGTCAGAGCAGAAATGTTTTAACCAATGCCGACCTGAGAGTGGCCCGTCTCAGTCCACAGGTGCTGCTGCTGGAGGACAATCTGGACGAAATCCAGGAACCCCCTGAACTGTCGTAGGGGAGGAAGACACTTCTGTTAGTTGGTGCTGTTCGAATGTCTATCCGAAAATGCATTTTCACACGGTCTCTTTTATTCGTTCGTGTTTAGAGAAACAAAATGACAGTCGTCACGGCAAGCAAGCCCATCCTTCACTACTTCAATTCACGGGGCAGAATGGAGTCTGTGCGCTGGCTCTTGGCTGCAGCTGGAGTAGAGGTAGGTTCTAAGAGGAGCCATCTTAAGTCGGACCTGAGGTGACTGAGTGAAACACTTTCCTCACAGAAGCCAGATGTTTCTCACTGAATGGTTTATTGAGAGTTGAAGTGTGAATAAAAATTCCAATTCTTAAGACATTCATAGGCTTGACCTAAGAGATCATTAAATCTTTCTTACAAAGGAGTATAATTTCAAAATAAACATAAGAAACATCGCTTTTACAGACCTTGTTTTTGTTTAAACAAACTGAAAAAGAATCTATGTCATTTAAGTAACAATTAGAGATGTGGGTACTGAGTGATGACACTCAATTACTTTTTTGTTGTCATCGTGTGTTAGAATTATTTTTCACATAATTCCTATGCTTTAGAGAAACAAATTATTGAAGTATGAAATATGTCCATGTATTTATTAATCATGGTGGTACATTCTAAAAAATATATCACTCACAAATGTATGCAGTTTTATACATTGTTATTATTTGTGTATGTGTGTGAGTATGCATATGGCATGCTGTGTGTGTGTGTGTGTGTGTGTGTGTGTAGGTCAGATGACATCTTGTGGAAGTGTAGGTTCTGGGGCTAGAACTCGTCAGTCTTAGCAGCAGACACCTTCACCCAGTGAGTCTCACGGCCACTCATTCACCGTCGTGGAATATTCTTAGATACAATGTGAGGTTGTGGCCTACTACTGACCTATGCTATATAGTGTAGCTTATGTTCCTAAGATCACAAACTCACACAGCATGCCATATACTGGACACTGTAGGCAATTATAATACAATGATAAACACTTGTGTATGTAAGCAAACCTAAGCATAGAAAAGGCACGGTCAAGTTAAGATTTAAAAGACACAAAAGGTGGACATTTACATAAGCCACTTAGCAGACTAGACACTGGTCTGAGTGAGTCAGTGAATGAGGAGTAAGTGGATGTCCCTCCTAGGACATTTCTATTGGCTATAGATCGGATCAGAAATGTCCTTGAAAGGCCCATGTGGTAAAGGCCTGTGTATGACTGAAAAGAAGAGGAACCCTTAAGACCTTAAAATGCTCCACTACTCTCTTCACTGGGAGTCTTCCAGGGGATTATTCACTTCTGCAGTTCCTCTCTTCTCTTACTCTTCTTCAGCTGTGTATCCACTAAACAACAGGAATGCTTCAGTTGTACTGTAGCCTGCTGGAGCAACCTTGAATAGACAGTCATGTTGGACGGAACACTGTAATGGCAGCCATGGCTGTGCATAGTTGCTGGGATTCCTTCAGGTTATTACAGAAGAAGGGAAGAGGGTGGGGTATGTAGAGGAAAGCCTGTTGGCTCAAGATGACTGTTGAAGGTAGATGTGGAGTACAAAGAACAGCAATACGCTTTTCTGCATATTTATACATTTTATAAATTTCCATCATAAAATAATGAAGATGTATACTATCAGAAAAGAAACAATTACAGTGGAAATACATAACACAAATAAATGAGAGGTGGGTAGATAATGGCAGTAACCACCTGTTAGCCACAGGGCGTATTTGCTCAGCAATTACTTGTTGCAGCATCTATTATGTGCCAGTTCTGTGTTTGGTACTGGGGCATACCACTGGGTGGGTCCCTGTGGTATGGTAGCTTCTATATCTAGGAGGACAGGGTCAAGTGTTTGACAGGATTCCTACTGCCTGAGCTGGAACCTGGTAAGATTCTTTGGACTATGGTGCTGCGCCCTAGAGTGTCTTGGGGGAAAAACAAACAAACAAACAAGCAGCTCTTGATTCAGACCAGAAGGCCCCAGCAATTGTGAGGATCTCGTGATTGGAAAGTTATTTATATTCTTAGAAGGTCTTGTCCCTCATAGGAGAGCAAAAGAGGAAAGTTAGGGAGTGAGGTCACATCCTTTTAGGAAAGCTTCTAGTGCCTTCCTTCATCCTCATAGCAATGAGTTTACCCAAGCCTTGGTATTCTCTCTCTGTTGCTTCATGAATGCAAGGACTTTGGCCTGATCCTTTCTCGATTTCATGAAGAAATAAGCATGTGATAAACATAAGCTGTAGTGCCAGTCTAGGTGTTGTACTTCTATAAATGAGTAATCTGGCTTCAACACAGTCTAGACGCCAGGTATATACGGTGCAGGAATATGTTCTTATGGACAGCATAAGTTCAAAAAAATATAGTCCGTGGGACTAGCCTATTGTTGCTGGATCCCTCGGGGGAGGGGGTGAGAAGGTGCTGTATCCATGGCTCAGACACCGGGAGTCAGTTGAAGGCAAACAGCAGACTCCTTTATTTAATAATGGGGAAGGCCTTATATACCCTCCTCCCAGCACCCAGTCTGTGTCACAATCTGGTAGCATTATGTGGTCGTCCCTCATTGGCTGGGCACGATCAGGAACTCTGACATCAATCAGGAACTCTGAGAGAACCTGTTGCTAGGCCCTCAGGCAGACTCCAGGTTGGTTCATAAGGAAGTATATTATGTGCATGCCTTGGCAACTGGTCTGAGCCAATTTCCTTGACCCTATGGGCCTGTCCTGCTACAGCCTATGGTTTCCCATTTTCCATCCCAGGGTGACCGAAGAAGATGGTGTCCAAGACTGTCTGAAGACATTTACTTAGGTCTTCTGGGCTCTCTGTGCCCCAGTAGTGATCATTACAGTCCCATCATTCACCATCAGCCCTCCCCCACATCAACACCATACTAGCCAACTGCATCCCACTCCACCACCCCTCAGCAATGACCAGCATGTCCCTTATGTTTTACTTGAAGGAACCTTTTGTAAACTGACTGCACACATCCTCTTAGTATCTCTGTATTGTGACCTGTATGAATGTGTAGAACCACAAGATGCTGTTCTTCACAGCATGCTAGGAACCCCAAAACTCTGACTGTCCTTTATGAGGAACTCCATAAAAACACAGCAGCCACTGTCAACACTAATATTACTTATTACTTGGCTTATGTGGACCTGCCTGGCCCACTGTGATGTGTTTTTGCAACACTACATCAGTCTGCTTAAGGAAGTGCTTTGTCCCCATTTTAAAGAATAACCAAAGGCTTGTTGGTGCTGAGGGACTTCCCAGATCACATAGTATGTATGAGGCAGTCTCATTTGAAACCAGAACACACCAGCATTGAAACCCAAAGATCTTCATGACTGTCCTGATGGTCTTTTGGATGGAGAGAGAGTCTGCCCACTGAATAATGTATGTTAAATAAGAACTGGTTTTTATCTTGATGTTTCCTTACATGTGACCAGACAGAGACATCTCTGCTACTGGCTGCCACTCCAACCCAAGTGCCTTTGCCTCAGGACGAGGTTTAAATGACTGATTGCAGATCAAGACCAAGCTGTGTCTTCACCAGTATTAGAGCTATTTAAAGAAAAAATATAGGACTATATAATGAAGTAACAGCACCTGATAAATCCAAACGCTGACTTACATCTATCTAGCACTTAGCGGAAACCTGGAACTTTCCAAAGTTAATTACACGTATAGTGACTTAGTCCTTATACTAACTTAAACGTCAGGTTACTAAGTCACAAAGTTTATTACTGTGTCTAATCAATGCCACTTTACAAAGGTACCATTTCACCCTCTACAGTCATCAGAAATCAAAGGTGGCTTTGTTTTTAGGGAAAAATAATGTGATAATTCTTTGATTCTTTCCTTAAATGTAGAATTCTATCTTAGTGCACCCCATCTTTTCCAGGGCAGACCGTTGTATAACAATTGTTAAAAGGTAAAAGTTATGTATGAACTAAGACCATTTTACTCACCAAATAGCCTCTTGGGAATGAAGTACTATCAATTCCAGCAGCGGCCTCTTACTGGCACAAAGTTAGATGTTTATGTCCTTGGCACATCCCGTGTAGAAACACAAAAAGGTCTGTTCTCATCTCTCTCAGAAACACAGACTTTCCTGTGATGTGATTAGGAGAAATTCTCAGTCTCTTCCCTCCAATACCATTCCCCCAAAGCCATGACCTCATCATGGACATAGGTGTGGTCATGGTGGGGGTGAACTGTAAGAATGAGCATGTGTGTGTAGTTCCTCTGCCTTTGTTCTTTATCTCTGCAATCAATTTCTGCATGGCTAAGACCAGCTTATCAGTGTTCCTACTAAAGAATGTTTCCCTCCACTCTGTGGGCAGGTGCTATCATGTGAGAAGCTCAAACACAGCGGGATGCTTAACAAGAACTTATGTACTATTTTTTGCTTTACAGTTTGAAGAAAAATACATTAAAACACAAAAAGACTTGAAAAGGTTAAAAAATGGTAAGAATTAATGTCTGTCTTAGTTAACACACATACCATTTTGAACATATCTGAGCCATAGAAAACTTGTTCTTCTTTTCTTTGCTTCATCCAATAGATGGTAGTTTGATGTTCCGGCAAGTGCCCATGGTGGAGATTGATGGAATGAAGCTGGTGCAGACCAGAGCCATTCTCAACTACATCGCCTCCAAATACAACCTCTATGGGAAGGACATGAAGGAGAGAGCCCTGTATGATGAGTTTCCTGTACTTATGAACAGATAACATGAGAAGAAGGATTTAAGTCCCCTTTTGAGTGAGCATAGCTGTGGGAGGGAGATCACAACCACAGGCTGGGCATTTGCACTGATATCGAGGAAAGAGACGCTTGTGGAGAGGGGATAGTAGGCTGCCCTTAGAGAACTTTGATGTAGAGCAGGGCAGAGTTCATGGGTATAGAGCTCTGTGATTATACAGTAGGATCGAGCTCTTGGATTTAGCATGGGGTCGGGACTTTGAAAACTCTAAGGAACTATGAAGTCAGGATGGTAGAGTCCTGTTTCCACTTGCTGAGTCTTTAGAGGCAAGGCTCTTAGCAGTTTCTGCAAAGGTTAGACATGGAGTTACTAATGACCCAGTAATTCCATGAGAAATATATCCAGGAGAAATGAGCATGCATCTTTGATTATGCTTATTTCAAAGTGTTCATAGCTACATTGTTCATAATATTTAAAAAGTGAAAAATGTCCAACAGTTGAATGGATGAGGAAACACAATGAATTGTATCTGCACAGAGGGATGGACAGACTCATGGGACAGCCTTGGTATTCTGTTACATAAGAGAGAAGGGATGCAATATGCCACACATTGTGTTTTCTTTTGTTTAAAATGTCCAGAAGACTCAAATCCATAGAGACAGAAAGTAGATTAGAATCTGTCTAGAGTGGGAGGGGTTGGGGCTTGGCTGCCCCGGCTACAGGCCTTATTATTAACAGGATGGTTGAAAAGTGTGAGACTGGAGAATGTTGTCCTTAGCAACTTCAATGAATATACGGAAAAGCACTGAATAAGATGCTTGGGTGACGATTATGGTTATGAACATATAGATGGAGTATTTTTAAAAAGTAGTATATCAACTTCGTTTCAAATTTCATTCAATCTTTCCTGTGCTCCACACCTGTGATCATAAAAAACAAAAATAGTATTTAGTGAGGTGCTATTTTAGGTGGGGACTCAAGAAATGCCAGCATGGCTACAATTAGGTGATAGGACAGAAGGGTGTAGTGGATCTGTTTTTAATGGAAAATAATTGGGAGAGCTTCTGACATTAGGTTTTGTAGGGAGCCTAAGCCATGCAATAGGATTAGGGAGGGCCAGCAGATCCTGAATAGCTGTGCCAGGGACTCTGAGGGTCTGTGGGGCATAGGACGTATCACAGCCGACAGCATCCCCTCTTTGTAGGGTTTGTGGCTGTGAATGCCACATTCTCTCAGTACTGACTCTGGTGGATTGCTGGTGCTTTTTCTGCCTGTATTAGTTACATGGGTAGCAAAACATCACAAATGTCGTCTCCCCTGTATAGCTAAGAAACCAATGTTAACTGATGAGTTGGAGGCTCCACCGAAGGCCAAGGTAGTCCCTTGGCCACCATCCAAGTTGCATCCTCTTGGGTTTTTAATCAATGAATGCAAGACAGGAAGGCAGTATTTGAGGAAGAATTTTATCTTTCAGGATTGACATGTATACAGAAGGCACAATCGATTTGAATGAAATGATTATTCGCTATCCATTCCTTCCACCTGGGGAGAAAGATGCAAGCCTTGCCCAGATCACACAGAAAGCAAGGAAGTGTCACTTTCCCGCCTTTGAAGAGGTAAGTAGAGGCTGTGTCACCTTCAAGGGCACTGAATGCAGATGACATCATAGTCTAGTGAGTATCTTCTTATTTAGGGCTACTATAACAAAAATGCCACGGACTAAGTGGCTTATGCTTCACATGTGAAGATACTTATTTCTGATAATTCTAGGGTCTGAGAAGTATAATGCTCCGGTAGATTCCTTTCTTATAAGACCTTGCTTCTTGGTTCATGGATGCTTGACGTCTAGCTGCGTCTTCACATGGCAGATGGCTCACAGGAGCTCTCAGAGGTACCATTATCATCTCAACAGTGGGAAGCCTGGGCTGCAGCTCAGTTGGTAGAATACTTGCCTAGGATGGACAAAGCCATGGATCCCATCTCCAGCACCACATAAATCAGATATGGTGGTGCATACCTGTAACACCAGCACACCTGTAGTCCCTGCACTCGGGAGGTGGGGGCCAGAAGAACAAGTTCAAGATCATCCTCAGCTACTTTGGCTACATGAGGTCCCATCTCAAGGAAAGAGGTGAGAGAGAGAGAGAGAGAGAGAGAGAGAGAGAGAGAGAGAGAGAGAGAGAGAGAGAGCGAGCTGTTGTCATTAATGAGAGCATATGATTATTTCTCAAATGTTCCACCTAAAAACTGTGTCATATCATGAGTTAGAATCTTAGTGTATGAACTTTGGGGGATCACAGACATTCAGTTCAATAAAGACAGGAAGAAAATGGCACCTGGTGTTGCCAGAGCATTAACCTTCCTTTTCAAAGGACTTCTATTAGGATTAGTCTAGCACCCCAATTCTGAAGGTATTGTGTAGAGGCATTGCTCTAGTTATGTCAGAGATCACTAGGTTCAGAAAAATTGACTTTACTAGAATTTTCATTATGGTATAACTTCATGGTCACAATTAGAGCTGGACTGTGTGAAGGTCTGAGCCACATTACAGGTTAGAATAGATCTTGGAGAGCACCGTAATATTGACTACATTAGAGGTTGGAATAGATCATGCAGGGCACCATGATGTTGACTACATTAGAGGTTGGAATAGATCTTCCAGGGCACTGTGATGTTGACTACATTAGAGGTTGGAATAGATCTTGCAGGGCACTGTGATGTTGACTCAGAATCAATAGGATGAGAGCAACACATTAGATGATCCTCTGACACCAAGGGCCAGGAGACCTGAGACCCATCCGGAGAATACAGCAATATTTCAGAGACAGGAAGTTTATACACTGACATATAGAATAAAGAAATGAAATTATTTTTTAAAAAATCTCCAGAATTTAGGGATATTTTTCTGATATTTTATCTAGTACTTACCTTACTAAGACTTCTCTCTGTATGTGAGATAAACATTTTAAGATGGAAATCACCTGAAGTCAGGCTGAATGAGATCATGAATCAAAAACTGGGCACAAACAATACAGACTTGTGAATAAATAAATGAATTATTGCTTAACTTGTGGAGCATTAGATCATTCATTCATCCATCCAACCAATGTTAAGTTGTTGCTTGTGTGCTGGGTCCAAGGTAAGCAGCTGCCAGCCTGTGATCAGATCTCCTGCCCTGCTCTTTGTGGTGTTGATAGTGTAAGGCACGTCATGTGATGATCATCTCCACAGCCATTCTTAACACTTAAGTCATCTATACTATGAAATAAAAGTATTCCATGCCGGGCGGTGGTGGCACACACCTTTAATCCCAGCACTCGGGAGGCAGAGCCAGGTGGATCTCTGTGAGTTTCAAGGCTAACCTGGTCTACAGAGTGAGATCCAGGAGAGGCACCAAAGCTGCACCGAGAAACCCTGTCTCAAAACAATAACAAAGTATTCCTTGAATGTAATTGCATAGTGTAAATTACACCCTAAGTTTCAAGTTGTGGGCTGAAAAGATGGTTTGGTGGGTAAAGGTGCTTGCTCCCAAACCTGATGACCTGAGTTTGATCCCTGGGACCAACGTCATAGAGGGAGAAAACCCATTCCCTTGGGTTGTCCTCTGACCTCCACACAGGTGCTGTGGCAGGTGGACACACAGACACAGCAGACACAGACAGACAGACAGACACACACACACTCACACAGACAAACAGATATAATAAGTGTAAAAAATATGTTGTGCTTTGTTTTTATACCAAGCAATCATTCATACTTCTTTTTGTATTTATTCTCTCCCAATATGTTTGACATATATCTTTAACAGGTAGTTCCGTGTGTGTTTGGTTTTTTCTCTTATTCATGCATCTTAAATATCATGTATTAGTCCTCCCCAGTTGTCGTCTAATTTTCATCCACTGAGAAAAGCTGAGAGACGTTCTAGAGGCCACATGATACTCCCCATGGATGTAGGGGATTGGACATCCCGTGGGGGGGTTGTCTTCATCATATGTGTCCGTCTCTCCATCCCACTCTCCACCAATGAAGCAAGTTCTTGGTTACAGACCTAAGCTCAGTTACCCTCCACACTCCGGCTTGCCGATTACGCCACAGTGTTAAGAATGAAAGCCATTGTTGCCAAGATGGTGGTTCAAATTGTCTTTATTAATTTCATTGTGAGCATATGAGCACGAGTGACGTTTTTGTACGTGGTGTGTGTGTGTGTGTGTGTGTGCATGTGGAGGTCCCAGGCTGATATCAATTATCTTTCCTCAATCACTCTCCACCTTTATTTTAAAATGCAACCTAAAGCTCATCATTCTGCTAGGCTGGCTGGCCAGTGAGCTTCAGGCTATTAAGAGCCCGGCTAGCTCAGTCGGTAGAGCATGAGACTTCAGTCGGTAGAGCATGAGACTCTTAATCTCAGGGTCGTGGGTTTGAGCCCCACGTTGGGCACCAGATATTGGTGTAATTATTAAGGCCACTCCACGTAGTTAAAAGGAGATTTATTTAATGGTGTAACTTACAAATTAAGGGATAGGTAGGTCTCGGGTTCTGGGGAAGGTGTATCACAGTCCAGCGGTGTTCTCTGGAGCTCTGCTTGGCCCACCTCCACCGTCCAGGGTCCCGGAACAGAGAGAGCACTCGCTCATCCAGATTTTGGGTCTCCAGGCGCCTCCCTTGGCCCCGCCTTGTAGGTGTGACAGTTGCCAAAGTCTTAATGGGGGTTGGAACTTCCAGATCAAAGCTGGAATGGCTACCCACTACAGTGATGGTGTATGCATTTAATCCCAGCACTGGGGAGGGAGGGGCAGGTAGAGCTCTGTGAGTTTGAGTCCAACCTGGTCTACAGAGTGAGTTCCAGGGTAGCCATGGCTACACAGAGAAACCCTGTCTGGAAAATTTTTAAAAAAATACATGCTTGTATCATCATGTCCCACTTTTTAAAAAAATCATTTATTTATTTTACGTATATAGGTGTTTTTTTTTGTCTACATGTATATCTGCACTCCAGAAGAGAGCCTCCAATCCCATGTTATAGACAGTTGTGAACCACCAAGTGGGTGCTGGGAATTGAACCCAGGACCTCTAGAAGTGCAGCCAGTACTCTTAACTGCTGAGCCATTGGTCCAGCCCCTTGTCCTATTTTTAAAAGTGGATTCTGGGGATCTGAAATCAGGTCCTTGCACTTTCTTACCAGGCACTTTACCAACTAAGCTGTCGCCCCAGTCCCTCAAGTTGACTTTCAATCCCAGAGACATCTAAAAGATGAGGAAAACAGACAAGAGGAAAACTGTAGACACAAAAATGGCCTACTCATGAATGAAGGGTCCTGCTGTGAAAGTTGGGAAACTTTTGGTTATGTATAGAGAGAGCTGAGGGGGGGAAACATTGCCAGTTTTAGGATGGTGTGAACAGGGAGAAACCGCAGCAGGAGGTAAGCCCTAGGCATTGGGTAAAATGCAGGAACAGGCGGGTGATGTGAGTACCATGTGGGATGAAAATGAAGGGATCCTTTTGGCTTTAATGGAGGTGATAGCAGACCTCATGTCTCCCCATCCTTCATGTCAGGGTCCGAGAGAGAGGTCCAGGACTCTACACTTCCTCCAGGAGGCTGCAGAAGGAGAATTGGACTGAATGGGTCAGGGAAATACTGGTGTTGCACCTGACTGTTTATGTTCATGGGTCAATTTCCTAAATTCTGCAGGTGTTGAAGAGCCATGAGCAAGACTACCTTGTTGGGAACCGGCTGAGCAGGGCTGATATTCACGTGGTCGAACTTCTCTACCACATGGAGGAGCTGAATGACAGCATTGTGGCCAGCTTTCCCCTGCTTCAGGTGAAATCGCTCAGTCCCTCACAGTCAGCCCTCCGCTCCTGGCACAAGTCTTTGCATACTGTTGGGCAGCTGGCAGCTGGCATCTAGCCATATCCAATCTTCAGCCCCCCTCCACCAACTGGAAAATGGTCTTCCTGGCCTGTTTCTGGAGTGTGAAGAGAGTCCTGTTGGACCAGGAAATTTGGCCTAGACACTACCTCAACAAGTATAATTTGACCTCGTACAATGAGAAGATGCCAGCACTCAGCTCTCTCCCCAAGCTCCCTTTCCACTGCGGGATCAGACCCTGATTTCTCTGGGATTCTCCTGATCCCGGATGCCCATATCATTGTGCACCAAGTCTATCTTAGCAGCTCTCTTCCTGTCTGGTTTCTGTCTCTCAGATCCAGCCCCCATTAGCAGACATTGTATTTCTCTCAGCGTGGGCACATAATCCTCGAACATAGAAACCCCTCTTCCCATCTCTCACTGATAAGTCCATTAAGTCTGGACTCTGGTTTTCCTGCTCTATTTTGTCATCATTCCTACTCAGTATCTTGATTTCACCTGTGTGAGGGTTTCTCAGTATTGACATCTGACCGACATTTCTTTTCATTTTTCTTTCCACTGGGGGCAACTCTATATGGTTAAAGGGTGAGAAGGGAGGTGGGGATGACTAAAGTCTTCGGGGTGCACCAGAAGGAAGGGCTATTCAGCCTTACTTCCCGCTCTTTGCCTCTATGATCTGTGCCCCAGGCTCTCCCCTCATGTTGCTGAAGGGAGTTATTTGGTTTTCGTTCAGGAGAGGGCTCAGATCTGCTACTTTGGGCCTCACTTTGAGGTTTTATGTTGCAGGCCCTGAGAACCAGAGTCAGCAACCTCCCTACAGTGAAGAAGTTTCTCCAGCCCGGCAGCCAGAGGAAGCCTTTTGAGGATGAGAAATTTGTAGAAGAGCTTAAGAAGACCTTCTTTTAAAGGAGACTGGACAGGATAGTGCATAGGTTCCCTGTCTTCCAAGTGTTCCAGCACTGGGGTGCCCAGGGCTGGTGCTAATTCTTGTGGAGCCGATGAAAGTTTCCAACCATTATATCCTGATCTTGTTAGAAATGAGCCCTGTGAATGTAGTTGTAATATCATCTATTGGGTTTTGAACAGATTTGAAATCCTGATCACCTCCTAAGATGTCCCTTTGAATTTAAATAATCAGAGAAAGATGTTTAATCTCAGATCTATTTAAAAAAACAACAACAAGAACTTTGTCATTTATCAGCTGTTATAGACTCTATCAAAAATTAAGCAGAATTTTTTTCATCTGATGCTTTGGTCTATGCAAAAGTACTCTTTTCTGACATGTTTTGATAACTTCCTGAATAACACAAATTTTTTCTCTGAAGAATCCTGTTCCTTCAAATAATATTTTTCTTATTCGCTCAAGCATTTGTACACTTATGTCCAGTGTTGAGCATCTGTTGCTCCTGGAGCTGGGTAAAAGATAAATGAGTCGGAAATAGCCTCAGCCTTGTGAAGATTGCTGAGAAATGACAAAACAAGATGATTCTAATTCAACCGGGTTCTCTCCAAGAATCGTATTCCTAAGGCTGCTCTGACAATATGGCACAGACTTTGCACCTTAAGAGAGTAAAAACTTACTCTCTCAGGTTCCAAAGGGTGTGCATTTGAAATCAGTGCTGTTGTGCTTCAGGCTCCAGCTGATGGCGTCAGGGAAGGATCCTTCTTAGCTTGTTCCTATGTTAGAGTGTTCTTGGGTTGATACACTACCCTAGACTCTGCCTTCATGGTCGTGTGTGTGTGTGTGTGTGTGTGTGTGTGTGTGTGTGTGTGTGTGTGAACACATTTCCTCTTTCTTATAAGGACACCAGTGATCACATTTGGGACCTCAGCTTTGAATACATCTGTGGGGACCTTCTTTCCAGATGACATCACATTGACAGGTGTCCTGAGTTAAAAAACATAACTCTTTAGGAGACAGAATTTTGCTAGGGTTGGGTTAATGCTGGGTGGGAGGTCAAAGGGGTGGATCTGAGGGTGCTGTCTACTGATTCATAAGACCCTGTGCTAAAGTTTAGTGACTTCAAACAATGAACAGTTACAAGCTCTCTCACAGTTTATGAAAATGAATGTATCACCCAATAGACAGGAACCACAGTGTCTCTAAGATTTCCGGAGCTAGTGATCAACTGAGGATCACCAAGAGCGAGGCAGGAAGATGGAGGGAGGGAGAGAAGGGCAACTGAGTGAGGCTAGCCAAAGAATCTGAGGATGAGGGGGCAGTGAGGTGGGGGAGATCCGGGGAGCCATGGCAGCATGTCGTCAGCGAGGGGCTTGAAGTGTGAGGCTTGGCTGGGAGCATGGAAGCCAGAGGTGACCTGGAGAGGTGCAGCTGCGGTGGGGGAGAAACCTGACTGGAGTGAGTTGAAGAGAAAATGGAAAATGAGGAAGCAGACGGCTTCTAGAAGGTTCTGGAGTCTTGCTCTAGAGCAGAGCAACTGTGAGATCATGGACTTTACTGGAATGTAGAAAAAGAAAGAGGCTGAGGGGGCTGGCTCAGTTTCTTTGATGAAGTCGCCTGAGGTTGACTGAGACCCCATGCTAGGTCAGGGGGCTTGTTTCAGCCCCCAGGAAGTCACTTTGCTCTGGAAAGTGCGCCCTCTGGTGTTCAAGCGTGGAGTCACGGTCCCACAAACGTAGCAGAGCATGCGCAGTTTGTTGCAAAAGAAATAAAATTAACTGCCAGGATCTAACAAATACAGGCAGACAGGAGGAATTGAGATTTCCTCCCTTCCCCTTATCACTTTCCAGTTAGCCCACTTCTGTTCTTAGTCACCAAGGATTCCTGTCATAGAAGGGTTCCCGTCACGAGCTAGGAGAGAGATGTGAAAAAGAGTCTCCCTGGTAGAGGAGAGAGAGCAAGAGACAGAAGGAAAAAGGGTAAAAGGGAAGGGGAGAGGGAAGGGGAGAGGGAAGGGGAGAGGGAGAGGGGAAGGGGGAGGGGGAGGGGGAGGGGGAGGGGGAGAGGGAGAGGGAGGAGAGGGAGAGGGAGAGGGAGGAGAGGGAGAAGGAGAGGGAGGAGAGGGAGAGGGAAGAGAGGGAGAGGGGGGAGAGGGAGAGGGAGAGAGAGAGGGAGAATTACTAAATTTGCTGTGAGGCCACCCGATTTCCACTTTAATGCTGTGGAAACTATTCAAAACCAAAGGAAAGAAAAGAAAATGAAAACCTGAGAAGGCAGTTACATTTGCCAAAGTTTACTTGAGAAAAAAAAAATAGCTACCCCTCCTCTTGCCACACTTTCTGGTGTCCACGCCTAGAAGACCGCTGGCCCTTTACCCAGTTGTGGTATACAAGGTTATGGTCTGATCTTACAAGAAGAGAGTGAAGGGCCGGCATTTCCTTTGACATTGCAATACTGTGACTACAGTTTGGTAGTCCCCTACCTCCAGTGACACCCACCCTTATGTCGTGGACATAGGCGGAGCAACAGTGAACTCTCAGTGAGCTAAAAGAGCAGCTTTATGGTGTGGACCATACCCTTCTCTTTTGCTGGACTCTGTGTAAATTTCATAACAGCCCCAATCACACTCTACGAGCTCTTTTCCACACGCACAGACAGGATTCCTTCAAGTCAAAACCAACAATGATGAAGAGTAAGCAATCAGAACTGATTTCCTAACCAGGCATTGGAGTGCATGCTTGTAATTCCAGCACTTGAAAAGCAGAGACAGGAGGATAGGGAGTTCAAACTTATCCTCAACTACATAGTGAGACAGAAGCCCTCCCCACCTCATCTTCTCTCTCTTACACACACACACACACACACACACACACACACACACACACACACACACACAAAGCAAAATAAATCCCAGACCTCACTTTTCTGTTTCTGCTTCTAGATTTTTTTTCACTCATTGGGAATAAACCTACCAAAAATATTTACTAAGAATAAATCAGGGGCTCCAAAGATGGCTCAGTGGTTAGGAGCGCTGACTGCTCTGCTCTTCCAAAGGACCCAGGTTTAATTCCCAGCACCCACATGGTGGACCATCTGTAACTCCACTCCCAGGGGAACTGACCACCTCTTCTAAACTTCTTGGGCACACACATGTGGTGCACAGAAAGGCATGCAGGCAAAACACCTACACACACATAAAATTTAAAAAGAAATAAAATGAAAAAATTAAATAAATAAAGTTCAAACTGTGACATTGAACGTCCTGAATTAGGGTAGAAAACTGGCAATGAATGAGCCGGCGTGTGTAATACGAGCTCATATTTATTGAATGTATTTGGGCACTGGCTTTGACAAAGCATTTAAAATACACTTACCATATATCGGTTCACTAGATCCCCAGGGCAGTCCTATGAGGCCAGAGTGCTCATTCCCTGAGACGACAGAGTGTGATGGGGTTAAGTCATGCAAGCAAGGTCAGCTCAGCCAGGGTCACTATCATGGAGTTTCAGTCGCTCACCCACTCACTGTTCATGTTTCTTGTTGTTTCCCAACTCCGCGTTTTGTTTTGGGGTAACTCGAACCACCCCAGCTTTATGAATGGTGAAGGGAAGGGGAACAGACCGAGAAGTCAGAATTCATCCAGCTGTTCATCCATTCAACAAACAACTTCAGCTTCTAGTTGTGAGGGACCTGTGTAGAAACTCAACAAGACACGCATAAGTTAAGAAATTGAAACACCAAGTCGCCAAATGGCCCCAGTGATGATGTCCTACAGATGGCATCAGTGGTATAGGGCAATGCTGGTGTGTTGATTGGGTGGGAGTTGAGGATGATGGAGAGGCAGGGTGTGAAAATGTAAGAGTTGAGGCTCTCTGAGTGTCCCTGGCAACTCTCGGGAGATGAAAAGGGTAAGATGGATCTGACCGTTTGCTAAGGTGTCATCCCCTGTGCCCTGGGAATGGCCTCTGCTTGTTCTCTTGCTCAGCAATGTGAATCTCATGTTGTCCACTGGCCAAGAACACACAGGGATGTGAATCAGATGAACCGGGAAGGAACTGACAAGTATCTTCGGGGCTTTTATTTTTGGCTTCTGATGAATATGTATTTTAGCAATACTAAAACTGCTTGTAGGAATATAGAACAGCCCCTCTGCATAAGAACTTCTCAGAGAACCTCCCTTAAATAGCGTGAGACTTAGCTTAGGAACGTCCTCTGTAAAAATGTGATCTGGCTGACGGCCCTGTCCCATTTCCCCCACCCCCACTTCCTAAGAAAAGAAGCAAAAACTTCAAAAGACCTGGATAAGAAACAAAAGCGTCAATGAAGTGAGCTAAAAATCAAAACGAAGATTGGCAAGAAAAAGAGGGATTAGACGTGACAGATACTGGGCTTCACTTGAACCGTAACCAAGATTATGCTGGCTTCTCCTTTTATATCTTCAGTCATTTCAACAACTTTTTTTCCTCAAGGAGTAAGAACAACTGATAATTCATTTCTTCTCTTCTTTCAAGAGATGAGATTTTGATGTTTCAGCAAGTGCTCCTGGGAGAGATGAATAGGACGAAGCTGTACAGACCAGAGCCATCAGCAGGAAATACACCCGCTATGAGAAGGCACAAGGAGAGAGCCCTGCATGGTTTAGCTCCATTTCTTCATCAACAGATAAAATGGGAAGGCTTGAGGCGGAGCACAGGCCAGAGGCAGGCTGGGCTTCGGACTTACATACTAAGCTACCATACGTTCAAGTTTCATTAGAATGTAGGAAGCAGAGACTTAGGTTAAAACTGTAAACAGCTGTGGGCAAAGGACAATGTGCCTGTCTATCTACAACAGAAGGCCTAAAAGAAATGTTCCAGAGGAACTGATTCTCAAGGCTTAAAACATTTGAAAATTCTGCTGAGGAATATAAGTTGTCTCTCAGCTCCTTGTGAGGACTGCCCCACCTAACTGGTTACCAGAGGCGGATATCCGTGAATGAAAGCTGCCTGAAATCCCTCCTGTGGTACTGATGCATTCAAGACCGATTCAACAATACCAAAGCTGAGGCTATCCTCCGGTTCTGGGGAAACTGAATGGTGGGAAATAAAATCTCGCAGGGAACTAGAAAGTGCAGTTCCTCAGAAAGGGCAACATAGGAGTGTTATCAGTAACCCAGCCTTTCCATTACTAACTAGGTGTGTGAGATAGCTTGATGGAGAAACATCAGTAGTAATATTTGCATAAAATATTCACAGCAGGATCATTCATAACACTCAAAAAGGAGAACTGACCTGAACACCCATTGATGATGGGTGAATGGAAGAACAAAAAGTACTGGGGTGATTTGAATGAAAATGGCTGCCATAGGCTCATAGGGAGGGCCACTATTGGGAAGTGTGGCCTTGTAGGAGGAAGTGTGTCACTAGGGGTGGGCTTTGAGGTTTCAA